CCTTTATATTTTTATTTACTATCCAACTCGCCCTTTTCATCCATAAGCATATTATCGAGCCTAGAACATTCGAAAGAAGCAGAAAGGAGGCGAAAGTGATGGTAATTGTAGTGATGAGGTGGTGATGGCGGTAGCGGTTGCGGTTGAGGTTGCGGTTGAGGTTGCGGTAGTGGTGGCGGTAGCGGTGGCGGTAGTGGTGGGAGGAAAGGAGGAAGGGAGAAAGGAGGGATAAAAATCCAGAACAGTGGGAAGCAGAAGCCAAGAAAGAGGTTACCCTCCTCCTCCTCCCCCTCCTTCTCCTCTTCCCCCTCCCCCTCCTCCTCCTCCTCCTCCTTCCCTTCCCACTTGCACTCCCACACCGTCTCAAAGAGCCTCATGGATAATCATTATTTCCCTTATTCGGCTGCATCTGTGAGTAGTCGTTATTGATGGGTGCCTTGGTGACTGCTGTCTCCGATGAGGAGACAGGAGATAGTGAAGAGAAAGAGGAAGAGGAAGGATTGAGGTTTTGCTGTTAGTTACCAATTTTGTCTCATTTTCCTCCTATCCTCCCTCTTTCCTTCCTCCTCATATCTAATTCTTTTGAATGCATCATACTTGTCATCTGCTTCTTCTTCTTCTGCTTCTTCTGCTTACTAGTTATGTTTGAAATAATTATTGAGAATTGCGGTGAAGTGAAGAGAAAAGAAGAAATGGAATAATGAGTGGGCGGAGGTAAAGAAAGAGAGAGAGAGAGAGAGAGAGAGAGAGAAGGAGAGAAAGAGCTTTAGGAGGTCTATGAATGAGGAGGACAGTTCCATACTTGCTCTTCTGGTCATTTTCATTTCCCTTACCTCGTGAAGATCGCGCGCTTGCCTTCTCCCCCCATTTATTGATGGTTACCCTTTCCTTCATGATGTACACACATGTATTGGTTATCTATCAAGCTCAAATATCTGTCAATGTCACTCACTTCACTACGTGTGGCGGTGGTTTCCGTGTTTCGCTTTCATCATCTCCTTCCATTTCTCCTCACACATTTATCTCCTTTTTTTTTTTTTTGTTTCAAAAAACGAAAACACAAAATAAATATTTGAAAATTTTGGTTTTCTTTATGAACTATTTCATTCATATTAGTCTAAAATCTTTTCATTTTTTTTTCTTTTCACAGAATGGGACAAATGAATAGCTCCGTTTTCTTCTTTTTGTAATGAACTAAGTAATGATAGCAGACTGTGTGTAGTTGGTCTAGATGAAGATATTTTATAAATGAGGTAATCGAAGGTTAGTTTTGAAGATTGATACGATAGAAGAAAAATGTGAAATATGAAAGCTTGGATAAGAGAGTAAGCAAGCTATGGGAAGTAGGAGAAAGGAATTGAATTGAAAAATATGATAGCAACGGACCAATAAGAAAAGAATATTGGATACGGTGACCGTAATTGGTCTGTTTAATAGGCATTAAAATTTTTACTTGGTAATTGAAACTAATATCTTCTAATTTCAAACATTGTTACATGTTAAAATTTCTCAGGAAATTCACATTCAAATTATTATTTTTTTTTTTTTGGAACTTTTATCATCTTAATTATTTGAATTGAGAGAAATTTTAACAAATGAAATTATAGAATGTATGCTTGGAAAAAGTGTTATGGATGGAAAAAGGGAAGCAAGCAAAAGGTCTGTTTAATAAAAAATAATATTTAAAAGTGCATAATTTTATCATCATATTTTAAGATAACAATTGTTACTAAATAATAATTTAGTCGATGAAAATATAAATCAATCATTAAAAAAAATTCAAATAAATTTCCATTCAAATAACAACGAATATTGATAAATTGTTGATAAAAATTTAATCTTTTAGTCTATACTTTTTCCTCTTTTTTTTTTGTAGAAATTATCTTAGGAAAATTATACGTTAGGTTATAATCTTTAATAAAGTCAAGGAATGTTACATTGTGAACAAATCATTGAGAGATCATCTGGGAAAAAGTAAACATATAGACATCTCACTCCTTGCCCGCTTATTTTTTTTCATCCAATAATTTTAGCATATATTTTTGCTTTGAAATATTTTAAAATTTGAAAATTGAATTTTGGACCTGTTTTATTTCGGACTTAAAAGATAAATTGCTTAAGCCATAGGAAAATGATACCCAAAATATATATGTTATATATATTTATATATATATAATGTTGATTTTGACCTAGTTATTATGACCTTATAGATCCGTTTATTGGACTGGGTTGGCAAATTAGAGCAAATGTGTATGTATGTGTGTGTATGTGTATGTATATGGTTAACCATCTGAAATAGGCCGAATTTAATCCATCTGTCCCGCTGATGAGTGTTCTCGTTCATTCCCTCCATCACAATAGGTGAGAAATAGAGGGAAGATAGTAGGTCAAGGGTCAACGCAGATGCTCTTCTATGTTCCTTCCTATTCATATATATGGACATTTCTCGATGATGATCAGTAGCATCAATATATCAGCGATGATTGAGATAACTCTTGAATTATATCTGGCACTCTTCGAATAATGCTGCTTCTCTAAATATTCCTTTAATCTTTAACCTTTTTGACCGTTTGTAGAGTTAAATCCCCGTAATATATATTACTAAATAGGTTGTGGTCATGTTTCCATCCAATCGGTAAATTGATAATGTTGTAATTCCTTGCAAAGGACGTCTCGCTTTCACCGGTGACCTTGGTTTGTTATGCTTAGTACTAAGGCACGCGGTGAATGCCAAACGTTCTATTGCCATACCTTATATACCCTTATGTCGCAGATAACTTTCGCACTTCCATTCTGTCCCAAAAGCGCTTCCAGTGAATTTGCTTATCCTAAAAACGGTTTGGTTTATTTCACTTTCCACTTTATTTTTATTTTGTGTTTTAGCAACTTCGAACCATATTTGACAGATGATAAATCATATTATTAAAAGGAAAGATGATGGATAAAAAAATTAGCCCTTATCATTGTTTCTATCTTTGTTGAATAAAAGACAACGGGAGGAGAGAGAGAGAGAGAGAGGATTACTCTCTCTCTCTCTCTGTGCTGAAATATAAAATCTAAAATGCTAAATAGCAAATAATTTAGCTCACGTGGAAAAGTTGCTAATAGCAAGGATAATTTAGCTCGGAAAAGAGAAAATGTTGAGATAGAAAATATAATTAAATAATACAATTACAATTTTGTCTATCAAAAATATCCCACTAAAAGACAACAACATAACTATGATATTTAGCTTAAACATTTACGCAACAAACATGTGAATAGATTAAACAAACAAACAAATGTAATTTTCATGTAGAAAACATTATTCAGCACCACTTTTCCTTCCGAAAAAAACAAACAAATACTTTTTTTATTACGTGCAGAATAATAATACAAATCATAATTAAATGAAATAACATTTAATTTAACTTGATCGAAAATTTGCATCAAATCGAAGTTAACTTTAAGATTTAACTTCTATTTGATGCAAATTTTCGATCTATATATTTGAAAAGAGGGAAGAAACTGGGATGTTTCCTTTTTTTAATGTATCAAATTCTATACATTTTTTGCACACTATCAAGATTATTTCAATTTCGGAATATGTTTAAAAAATTTTCATACTTACTGAAAATTTTCCCACTTTTTTTTCCTTTCAATGATTCATAACGTTAAACAGAATTAGGGGATTCATTTTTTTTTTCAGAATATATATGTATATAACATATTTGAAAATGTTTACTTAAAATAACTTAATAGTGCAAATACTGTGAGTGGTGCAGGGAACAAAAAGATATTTCAGGGGTTATTAAGTTAATAGGAATAAAAAGAAAAGAATGGAAGTAATTTATGGAAAGAAGACATGTGCAATATTCATCACTCATTAATTCATCGAATTAAATTGCAAATTGGATTAAATGCTGAATGGTACACAAAGAAAAAAAATTGTGATGTTTTAAAACAAATTTAAACTATTAAATGAATTTACATTATCTCTTGTGAATGTTATTGTGCATAAGTTTGATGAAAAATTTGTTCATAATTTAAAATAATTCCATTTCAGCTTTAAATATTTATTTTCTCTTTTTTTTTTGAAGTTTTTAAAAGTTATCATCATCATCGTTATAATATCATTAATACATATAAACAAAAGTAAAATTTTGTTAATATATTATCTTCAGCTTTTTTTTGTTTTTTCTTTTCAGATAGAAAAGCAAACGTGTCCTGATAATATATAATAAGTGAGTGATAACAAGTCAGAAAATTCTTTTTTTTGTCTTGATGATGCTTCATGAACGAATAAATTGTCATTTTCCATTGAATTTTCAACAGTAACATGCTTGAAATTTCACTAAAATATGGACGAAATTTTAAATAGACAATAAACCACAAGAACTTTCCATTTTATAATCTAATTTAATATCATAAAATTTTACATTCATAAGCAATTATTGAACTGCATTTTGAAAAGTTAGCATATCCCGCTGTTTGTCATCCATTATTTTTAGCTATTCCATTCTGCAATTATTTAAATGAGTACAGACTTGTTAAATTTTAGCTGGAAATATGAATATAATCTTGAATTGCAATTTATGGATGTGAAGAAAAAATCTACCACTCTCTTCCCCTCATTTTCTCCTCCCAAGGAATAAGAAGAAATCCTTTCGATGAAAAAAAGAAAAATATATATACACACACATACATATAACACGTACATGTGCACGTACACATACACATACGCACGTACACAGACACACACACATACATATAACACGTACATGTACACGTACACATACACATACGCACGTACACAGACACACACACACATACACATACACACAAAACATTTACAAAATGTTCCGGTAAACAGTTTGACGATAAGCAATTTGCGGAACATAAGGATTAATAAAATGAAAAGATCTAATCAATCCCTCAATACACCTGCTTACCGTCGGGAGAAGTATGAAATTATAGGAAAAAGCAGATATGATGACATATGTAACCCAGACTGAAATGGTCACATGGCTTATTCATCTCAAAATCAATAATTGTCAAGTGTAAATGCATTTCTCACACCACTGGCAACATATATAAAGCTTGATGAAAAATTAACTTAAAATTTCTCCCCGAAAATATTCACCTGTTATCATTCATTCAATAAAATTTATTGAAAAATTAAAATTTTCAGTAAAAATTTAGAAATGCTTTACAAAATGATAAATGAAGGATGAAATTTTAACATGCAAATTCAACTATTCATATAATTAATAAAATTTTATGATGGTTTAGAGAGTAATCTCTCTTGCAAATCTTACATGCATCATTGAAGATTGATTATTAGAACAGTGAACAATTCTAAGTCTCATTATAATGTTAATTACCATTTAGTCATCAAAATATTTCGATCCAATTTAATTCCTGGTTAAGGGAACTGTTATGATTTGGACTTGTCTACTTTAATTGATAATTATACGGTATTATTCTTCGAAGTTCCGTAACTGCTGTTAAGAAAGAAGCCCACAGAGCCTACAAGATATTGATTACACTTGTAGGGACTAATAAGAAACTGCCAATTGTCTGTGCTTTAACTTCAAAAGAATAACATGTCGTGAAGAGAGAGAAATTCAGACGGAAGGGAAACAAGCTTGAGTTAAATTTATACGGAAAAATGTACTCTATTTCCCAGGGAACCTAGAAGATTACTTTTTTGTATCCATAGCGACAGATATAAAAGCTACTAAACCTTTGAGTCAGCACTTGAAAAATGTAAGTTTGAAGTCAATATGAACTAAGCAATGAAACCGTTTTACTGGTATAGGTGAGACCAGTCAACTTTATACCTCTATTTTTAGAGAGATTTATCATACATTTGGCAAGACAATTGCAGTTAAAAATCATTTACTTCTGCAAAAAAAAAAACACAAGCAGCCTAATATATACCATATAAAAAATCTACACTCGATCTTCTATGGCTTGGCTTTTCTCTCTTCGTCAGGTTTCTTATTTGATGGCTGAGGCATTCGTTTTGATATCACTTCTGCCTGAAAATTATTTCGTATATCACGTCAATAAGGTGATCCGCCGAAAGCTGATACATTTTAAGTTAAATTTTATTTTAAAATAGACGATCTTATTAAATTATTCTACACAACCTATATGCTAACTAGGCCGTCCAGTCACCTACATAATGGCAAAAATTATGATGATAACACTCATTACAGCGGTTATTGCAAAACCTATATTCTACATTTAAACTATTTAAAGACTCTTCTAAATGAAACTTTTCAAAAATCTTAACCTGGCAATTTCCTTACTCTTATTTTTCACACCTTCTAATCATAAGATAGGTTGGAATACGTAGCTGAATAGCTGGTAAAACAATTTTCCAGAAATCTGATACTCAACAGTGTTCGACATGCAGTTGCACCATTAGTAGCATAGAAATTACAATGAATATTCGAACAATTAGTATTCAAAATTATGACTATCCACTCGTCATGGGCTATAACCGTAGAACAAAACTGGATACCTCTATATCACAGTAAGAATATTTATGGAAATTAAAGTAATCGGAACACTTGTATTCCTCCGGATTCACCTTCTTCTTCGTTCCAATCTAAAATAAAATTGAAATAAACAACCAATATTTATTAGAGATGCAGCACAGGAGAATTTTAGTTAATTTAACGGATGAATTTTTATAGATTTGTTCACACAGAGATCAGATAACTTATTTCTGAAAATTTCCCTGAGAACAAGAGAATGATATTTTACAAACTTACAACATCCTCATCTCATCTTTTTATGTCACATCTTTGCTACTTAGTGCCATTATTTTAAAAATGAAAAATACAAAGTTTTTTAATACCATACTACATAAATACCACAATGTACTAAAAATATCATTAGATTTTCCCTTTAAATGGCAATATCAATGCGTGATGTTCAACCACATGTGAGGTTTACTTTGGACCAAGGAGTTCATAATTTCGAATGCAGTTTTAATGCAAGTTAACTACTCGATGTTAACTTACTTTAAATTTCAGTATTTACTTTTTTTTTAAACAAGTTGCACAACAAGTACTCCCTCAATTGTACAACTTTGACAGAATTCAATCAATATATTAATTCTATCATACGGAAATTTTAATTAAAATAAACAAAAACCGTAACCTTTTTCATCGTTTCCGCATGTTCTATCCCAGTGGAATACAATGTTCTTATTAAATTGCTTATGGTTGACATACATGAACGTTGCTGTATGCTAACCGACCGAACAGCAGCTTTCAACATAACCTACAAGAGAAATAAAATCACAATAACCCTAACATTCTCAAAACTTGAAAAAAAAAAAAAACCACCAACCATACCGGAAACTGAAACTCTTTACTCTAAAGTCGTTTAAAAACAACGGGCCACAAAATTGATCGTTAAAATTCCTTTCCGATTATCGAATAGTTGGTTAATGAGATTGTCCGGCAGTCTATGTGCGATGTTTTTGTTGTGCGGTTGGTTGGGATAGTTTGGAATGCATTTATACGGGGGAAAATAGATGAGATCAGGGAATAACGAAAAATTGCTTTGAAAAATGAGGAAAAATACCTCGGAAGAATAAGAGGAAAGGTATGATTTCGGAGAAAAAAATGAAAGGAAAAAAAAAAAAATGATGCAGTAATTTCCGAGTCCCATCTATACGTTTGAAGATGGAAAAGTAGTATGAAATAGGAAGAAATTTCAGAGATTGATGGAAAATTTAAATCTTTTTACCAAAATAATACAATAAATATTGAGAGCATTCTAATAGTATTTCTGTGTGATTGATATTGTCATTGAGGTTTTCATACATATCACTCATATATTTGGTGAAATTTTAGCATAGATCATGCATGATATGAGTCATTTTTAGTCGTTTGCGTCATTTTTAGATATCAGGAAAAGAGTTTTTCTTTTTTTTTCTTCCAATTATTATCGAACTTTTTCCTTATTTAAATTCTTTAGAGAATAAAATATATTAACATAAAATAATTGCTTCCATGAATTTTTAGATGAACATCCATTTATTCTTTCATTTCTTCCTGTTTGCATGGATTTTACTTAATCCAGTTTCTCTTTCGTATTCTATTTCAGGTTTTCTTTTAATAAGAAATTTTATGGTGTATTTTGGAAGAAATTGGTCAAAATTCGTTCATTATCAATAATCATACAATAGATATAGGATGGGCCGTTATTTCCTGGAACATCTTGGTGGTCGTCGAATTTTTTCGTGCGATAGCTGTAAAGCATTCCTGACAAATGAGGATGAACTGATCTCGAAACATTTCACTGGTAAAAAGTTGAACGTGGAGTATCCCATAATCTTAGCATGAAGTACGGAGTAGTACGTGAACGTTGCTTTAATCGTCATCGATCTTCGAGAAGGTTATCTATCACGGGGCTATCTCGTAGCTAGTATAGAATAATAAGAAACGCCTGTGTGTTGTTCATAAGTACAGTGAAGTTTTTTTTTTCTGTTTCCTTTTGAAGTGTGAGCCTTAGGCATAATATCAAATTGCAGAGTAATCTTTTATTTCATAAGTTACTAGCTTGTCAGGATCGACGGGTCCAGCTTTCCTGTTTGATCGTGTTGTCAACATCGAATATTCGGAGATGCAGTTGCGAACAATGATTACCGGGCGGCATATTGTTCGAGACGTCATTTGTAAGCGGTGTAAAGTATGATAGTTCAATACACTTTGCTCAATGGGTTTTTTGTACATCATAGAATATTAAAGAATAGAATTGAAAAGCTGGGAGGAATGTCCAGGAAATATTGACTTCTGAGAGGATTTAATAATGTATTGACGGAAAAGTTTGTACCTCACAAAATTTTGTGTTATGCGAGAATTCAATAGAGTTTTATAAGTTTGTCAGCGAAATGGCGTTATTTATATTTTCCGATGTCTTTGGAAGAATGAGATAAAATATAGCTGAATTCGAACTAGTAGAAATATGAGTGAAATATTAAATAAGGGAAAAATAGGCAAGTGCAAAATAAGGTGGGGCAATGTAGAGTATGAGTACGAAAATTGTCTCGTGTTAAATTCAATTCTAGAAAGAGCATTGATCTGTTCAAATAATTTGCATATAATACATAAAGTTACATTAGAAACGTTAGAGATTAGAAAGTTACACTACGCAAAGTTACATTAGAAAAAAAGACTGAGTTCGAAAGAATCAGGTAGAGAAGGTGATTTGCATATTTTTCAGACAAAACTTGGTTGGATGTACGAATATGCAATGAATGAACCTCAGAAATATAAGGAATCTAAAATTATTCTAGAAAGAGCATTGATTGAAATGAGTGAAGGCATCGATAATCCTGTTAACGATGGAAGAGAACCACGACAACGGTACACTTAATATCGCATAGTGCTTTCACTCAAATTTCAGATTCAGAGAATACGATTTTTGCAATATTCTGCGGCCTTGTAATTTAAATATGTACAATCTTGTATATATGTCCGATATAGTGGTTCCCATGATCCAGTTGAATGATTTTTCATACGATCTGGATGATTGATCTTGTGGAACGAATTCAACTTTTAATGTTCCCCAGCTTGGCTATTAAGTACTGCCTTGCTAATTTCAAATTAAGAATTCTTGTGGAAATTGTCTGCTATGAAACGTTCCGCTTTCAGTATGAATCTTTCTTACAGTTGTTTTTATAATGTTTATAATGTTTATAATGTTAGTGATCACTTTAATACTTTTATTATCATTGTATTTTCTTTTCTTTAGGTCAAAAACTCAGGCTTTCATAGCTTCGAGTCGTGAAAAAAGGGTGAAAGGGTCTACCTTTAAAATTCGAACTTTGCAAATTTCATCAAATTTGGACCGATTATCGCATTTTTTTAGATAAATGATATTTCATGCAATATGAATCTTTTATTGATGTGCATTAAATTTGATAAAATTTTGAATTTTATTGCAAAAGTCTTGATATCCATTTAGATTTGATAATCTCAGGCATTGCCTGTACTATTACTAGTTGTTTCTGAATATTTGTTAGTGATGTTTGTAGAAATTTCGAAAACTAAAAGGTCATGAAGGACGAACTAGTTTCCGATGAACAATTCGTATGTAATTATAATTCCATGGTTTCAGAGGTGCATTTGTGCTGACTTCATGATCTTTGTTAAGTTGCTTGTTGACATTGGGTTGTTATCATATTTCAAAATCTTCGTTATCAAACGAGCATGGTTTCTAAACAGAACATTGGGCAGTACTTATCGAAGCAAGTTCAATACCACAGAATGAAAATTGCGGTCAGATCGATAGTGGTGTAATAATGGAATGGGTTCATCTCTATGTTAATGAAATGTAACAATAAAGGGGCAGTTGTTGCTAGGAACTCTGATAATTCCGACTGAGTTAAATCTCATGTTGGAATTTAAATCTATTCGAAATTGCGTGTTGCGGAAGTATGCCATTCATAGATTGATATTAGCAACATTAAATTTTTTTAGATAATATATTGTTGGTCGTTTTGGACTGAGTTAAACATGACGATACTACCTAGCAAACCGAAGAAAGTGCCAAAAAATGCTGAACGGCATGGTGCGCAGCAAACAAGGTTAGTCTTATTCAAAAATCATTGTGCAGAATAGTGCTTATCATTTATTATCTTTATTACTCTACAGAGCAGTTTAAAATCCATTAGGTATTTTCTAGATACTTTATAAAGCATTTGTACTTCTCTGGTTGGAAAAAGCGCAATTTTTGCAGTCACACTGCAGAGGTGTGAATACTCAACCTTGTTTCGTAGTTGCAGGTTATCAGTAACATCTCTTCTTCCACTGTTTTCATTTGTTCATTCAAAACGACCATTTTCCGGGCAGGCTTGTTAGGTTTACTATGTTATGATAAATTCCAGTATTTCTGACACCTCTGGACCTTGAGGACGATTTTCAGTAATCGGGCTTCAGCGGTACATTTACATAGACACCCAAGTACGAACAGTAGCAACGAGGAAAAAAGAAAAACTAATGCTGCTGCTGCTAGCTCCAAAAGTTCACCGCTTCCCAGGTTGTTCACTTTTTATATCTTTCATTCTTAATACATGGCGTAAACAACTTTTGCTTAAAACAGTCTATTGTCGTCTTGCCTCAAGTCTACATTTTTCGTTATCTCGAGAAAGATGTTCCTGGATACAGAGAGATAAATTTGACGAAATGAATATTTTATATTAATGTCTCAACCATGAATGAATTTCTTGCTTTGTTCAGTTTTTGCACTTCATAGAAGTCACTAAAAACTAAAAAATTTCAAGGATACATAGACGGATATAACGAAAATCAATATATTTCAGGACTGCGTCTAGTAAAAATAATCATTCCTTGGCTGCGTCTCAACCGGATACTAATAAACAACCAAGACAAAACCCTCCAGAAGAAAATCCAGGTAGCTAAAATGTCACTTTTTAGCACAGTTTGGCTTTGAGTTGTATTTTTTGCTTGGAGAAATATTGGCATCCTTTTTGCAGATTTTTATAATTTTATGCTTCCAGGTGCTCCGACTATTAATTCTGATGACGAAGATGGTTCTGGTTTCAAAGATGATAACGTATGTCTCATATTTCCTTTGTGTTTACGAGAGCTTTCATAAACTGACCTCTCATTCTTGGTAGTGGGAGGAGAAGGTGATGAATCGTTAAACAGACTCATCTTTTTTATTTGTCGTATGAGAAGAGTACAATAAAATTGGTTGAAGGAAATAAATATCCTTCATTTTATATTTCAGCTCGAAGCTTGGTTTGAGGAGCGTCTGCGTTGCGTACGAGGCCTTGTGATAAAACCTGTTCGAGGAGATGGAGCATGTCTCTTCCGAGCTGTTGGTGAGTGCAGAATCCTAAAATGTCTTTTTATATGCCATATCGTTGTTTTTTTCTTCATTTTTCTACTGCATTCTCTTTCCGGCGCTTTTTTTCTCATCTTTTTCTTTCACTGCTAATAAGCTAGAATTTCTAATACCAAGAATGTATTTCCAAAATAATAATCCTCTTCAGAATATAATATCACTTTTAAAGTGAGTGTATGAATCTAATATATCTTATCGCTAAATTCTCTTCACAGATCTAAAGAAAAGAAAGAAGATTCACTTGATTTATTCAATGTCTTTTCAGCAGATCAAATATATGGCGATGAAGAAATGCATGACGATGTCAGACGACTTTGCATGGACTACATGGTTAGTTTTATCTACATCACATGGTTTTGATTATGCAAAAGTGTCGTAAACTAGAAGTAAGTATCTAATCTCCTGGATGACTCTTTGGAATCAAATTTCATTTTCCTATTTTAATTGTACAAGAATGGTTTAAAATTTTCGGGAAACTTTCAGGAGAAGAATAGTGATCATTTCTCACAATTCGTGACGGAAGATTTTCATGATTACATTGCAAGGAAACGACGTCGTGATGCTCATGGAAATCATGTCGAATTACAAGCAATTTCTGAAATGTTTTCACGCCCAATCGAAATTTATGAGTATTGTACTGGTGTGTCTTCATGTATTGCTCTAATCTTAGGTACATTCCTTTTCTTCACTATACTAATGTTTTAACTTTAGAGCCTCGAAATATCTCCAGCTCTCGTCTAGATGTCTCTCCATCTGCAGAACAGAACCCACCAATTCGCCTTTCATATCATGGTTCAATTCACTATAATTCAGGTTAATGATGACTTATTTTGCTCATCGGAATACATGGTTTGGCTACTATAGTTTATGTCTTGTTTTATAGTTATTGATTGCATTAATTTCAGTTGGTTTGGTCGAAAACTGAAACAGACAATACCATTGAAAAAATGCGAGTTCTTTCGGATATGCAACCACATTTTTTCTATTTAACTGATTATTTTTAATGATCGTTTCGTAATGAAATGCAGTTAGTTGAATTTCAGTCATCGATCCAACTAAACCGACAATAGGAATTGGCTTAGGATTGCCTGAGTATTCACCTGGAGCAGCAGACAGAAACCTATTGCAAGAAGCGATGCAGAAATCAGAAGTTCAAATGATCGAAGACGCCATGTTGCATGATAAAATTAAAATGACTGATTTTGAGCGTACAGAACAAGATATTAGCGAACAGGCGCTGTCCACATTTCTTTATTACTTTCTTTCATGTTGATTCTTATATGAAATTAAGCGAAATAGTTTGACGGTTGGCTTCCTAAATGTCTTTTGAGGAGGTTATGACGGCCTATTTCTTTTCATATACTTATTTGTTTCAATAGTATTTTTATGCTGTACACTTCAGCTAAATTGATTATCATATATTTTTATTTCAGATAGCGCGACAGTCTTATTTGGATTATTTGAAAAGTATTAGCAAATCGGAAAATACCGAAATGAAAAAAACAGAATATTCGGTATCGGAACCGGGTTGCTCACATGCAAATGTTCGACCTCAGGAAAGCAGTGATGATACAATAGGCATCTTTTTTTAATCAATTCTAAATGATTGAGTGGAAGCATTTGCTTAAATGTATGCGCAACAAATGTATTATTAATGCGATATGTTTGTGATCACCAGGAATAGAGAATATAGAATGTCTGTACTATGCGCATTAGCGTCTCAGTTACATTTAGAACAGTGCACCAAGTATCAAACATTCTTCCCTCGTTTCTATATTTTTCATCTGTAAGATCAATCCAAGATTTTGTGGAGCTTTTATTTGGTATTTAAGCGGATTTGGAACTTAGAAATATTCATTTAACAGGTGCTAACGAATGGTTTCATGCAGCAGGATCGGATGCGGAGGAAAATGCATTATTGGCACAGGTAATGGCACTTTCACAACAGGAATTTATGAATTCGCTAAAGAAGAAATCATTGAAGGAGCAAAATGATGCTGATCAAGCTGGTTCCAGCAAATCTTCATATGATTCGGTGAGTAATTATCAATTTTGATTTGTTTTACAGTAATCTCTAATGGAGTTTTCTTTTGGTAATATGTAACTATTTTGAAGTAATGAATGTATACAATGTCGATGTTTCGGAATTTCAAGATGGGCGTTCCTCATTGGATTTATATTCTTTTTTCTCCTTTTTTTTTGTTTGTATCATTAAAACTTACTCTTCCATGTATTTCCGAAGTATTTGGATTACTATAATGTCTTCGATTAATTGTTAAAGTTTCTTTCAATTCAACATTTCATTTTCTTTTTATGAAGGTGATCGTTATTTACTAGGCATTAATGAATTATATTAATTTATGTGGTATTTCACTAGTCTTTCATTTTGGAATCCACTATTCAAGAATGAGAAACATAGTGTTTGAATGAGTTTGTCGTTTGTCTTGGATACGTATTTTTAATTTTTTGCTGTAATTGTAATTCATTTCTCCTCTTTAATCTAACCCATTTATCGTTCGACTATTTTGGTGGATTTCATGTAGTTCTTTCATTTAGTTATGGTAATATTATTGTTTTTGACGAAAATTCTGCAACTGTTTTTAGTAATACTTGAAAGTTGTACAAATGTACGAAAATGTGTCTCTTTTTTCTATTAACTTTGCTTCCTTATATATAAATTTTAATGCCAAAATGCCAGATTGTCCGGACATTCAATGCAATTTATTCAGTGCTTATAATACGTACACATGGAAAATGTAAAGTACTAGGCTTCCGAAGATGGCTTACGAGTAAAGTCAGTGATTATATGATAGACATATAATGTATCAACTAAGCTTTTAGGGTGTTAGTCGCTACAATTAATAGAATTTCAAGTCGCTGGAAATCTTTTTATTCTGATCACATGTTAACCAAATTTTAGATATATCTAATACTCAGCAAGCGGCAGTGACATATGTTTGGCTACATATATTGTTAGCATTTATGGTTATTCATTTAAAGAATTTTCTAAAGTGTAATGCCAGCGTCATTTTCGTGAAGCCTTTTGTACAAATCATTTTAGTTAAAAATCTTTATTTTGTTTTGATTGTAGATCCAGTGATTGAAAATTTTCGTCATTTTTTTTTTGGTTGATTCGATCCATTTGTCGATGAATATAATTTGATTCATTTAATTCAGCGATTAAAGTCCTTTAAATATTTGTCCACTTCCTTACAATACAAGTTACAAACTTAATCATAATTTCGAAAGTTGCACTAAGTAGTCAAAAGATTTAAGCGGTTATGCGAACCCTATTTTTTAGTAATTGTTCCTCTGCAAATGCTTTTAAATACAAAAAAAAAGAAAAGTTTCTGATATTTCTGCGGCCGTGTTGAAATATCGTAAAAGGAATGAATATTTTAAATGTCACCACTCGTCTCTAAATGGTAGTTGACATTATGCTAATAATTTGTTCAGACATAGGTCATGGAGTTGTGAATCTTCGACAGGTTTATTTTAAAGAAAAAATTTAATTTAGCTTTCTTAACTTTCTCAAAATACCATAGCAATTGTGATTATCATGCGAAATCTGTTGGTAAAATTCCATAACTGGACTAGAATTTTCGTCGATCTTTTAAAATTTTAAAAATTTCTCCATCATTTGGATATTTTTTACGGAAGGGTTCGTTGAATTTACATCCGAAATAAAATGTTGCCGTTGAATTTAAGCACCGATCGGATCTCCATATATACCTGGAAATACCTGTGTATAAATCTAGAGAAGATAATCCAAGGAAATGTTCAATTTTTAAAGAAATAAAATATCACCAGTTGTTTCCACGCTCCACCAATTGATAATTATGATACTGAAAGCAAGAAGGATGGAATAGTTCGAATGCTGAATGAAAGACCTAAAAAATGAATGGAATGTTTTTATTTTCATTTCGATATAAAATTCAAAATTTGATAGCATTTTTATTTTTTAGAAATGAAAAAATCTTAGGTTTTATTTGAGAGAGACAGAGAGACAGAGAGAGAGATAGAGAGAGAGAGAAAAAGAAAAAAAGTGAAAATTATAGACTCATAAATTATAACATACCGTATGAGCATTGGGACAGAAAATATCGCAGAAAACACGACTGACTGTTGTATTGTATTTTTCCTTTAATTTGAAAACAATCATTTATTGTTCAAATTTTGATAAAATTTTTTGATCAAAAAATATAATTAAAAAAAAAAAAGTTACAAAATTTTATACCGTAAAACATCCTGCTTCATTTGGTGCTGCTCGACCTGGTTCTTCATATTCCGTATCTTTCAATACTAAATGACATTTCGATGGTTCATTGCCATTTTTTTTGGATAAATCTTTCGTTACGCAAACCAATTTACGAAATTCTGGACAGGAATTATTAATTCAACAAAAAAGAAATTTTTAATTAAAATCAAAATAATACTAAAAAAAAAAGAAAGTTAACCATCATATTTTGATCACAATAAAAATAAAAATAAGA